TTTTCGGTTGCTTGGGAGATTCGGCAATGCAAATAATCATAAAACCACTAGACACTTCTCAGGTTACACACTGTAAAACAATGCCACCTAGTGATTCACAGAGAAACCTGCAGTAAGACTGCGGCATACATAATGTTTTTAAATGCATTTTGGAATATTATTGTTCTCTGGGAAAGCTGCTTCATGAATCCTTAATCGATTAAGATGTGTTTTAAAATTCTGGGCCCGAATAGGCACAAAGGATAATACCACAAATATCTTAAGATTAATTTATCAGATCAACAAACACCAAACAGCAATTTCATATCAGCACTTTTCCTAAGTTGAATAAGCCACATTATTGCTACAGCATTTTACTTGTCTGGTTTGGGCTGATTCTAAAGAGATGAAGCTTCCACTAATGCGCACATTAACGTGCAGTGGATGTAGAAAAAGACATTTCTAAAGTATGTAAATAGAACCGGTTTACATGCAACACAGTATAATAAAGCATAACAACTGCAACAACTTGATTAAAGCTCAATCAGCAGACAACAGAAGTAGAACCTTAGAAAGTTCTATGTCCACTTGCTAGATAGATACAGTACATTGCAAAAGTCTTGAGCCATGCCATACCTAGCATGTTTTGCTAAGAAAATGATGAATAGGTGCAGTGATTTATTGAAACATGTTCAAACATAATTTGAAATTTAGTATATAAGGCAGAAACGGTGTTTGTACACTTGAGAGTCAATATTTGGTATGACCACCTTCATTCTTCCACACAGCCTGAACTCTCTTTGCCAGGTTTTCTTGTAATTTCTTTAAGAAGTCTTCAAGAAATGTTTTCCACGCTTCTTGGAGGACATTCAAAGCTCTTTTTTAGAACAAATTTTGTATTTTTGAGAAGAGCTGCTAGTAACAAAGTGCCCAAAGATACGTTGTCTGTTACATGTAGACACAACACTGGTTCACCTCTTGACTTTGGTGCTTTTTTAATGCTTGAATGTATGTTGAGGTGAAATGGTTTAACAAACAAAAGAAAAATCCTATGAAAATGGTCAGGGGCAAGAACTGGGCTGAAAATGAGTGAAAAAGCAGCCAATGGCCAAAGGAAATATTTGCTATTCTTCAGTCTAAGATCACTATAGAGAACATATGGACAAATTATGGGTAGCTCAAGAACTCTGCAGAGTAAGACAGAGGGTTTTTATTCCCATAGCAAGGAATTTTGCAGGTATCTTCTTTGTCCACATCTTTGGCCATCTGGATGAGCTCGCTCTTGGTAGGATTGATTCCAGTTAAACTCATCATCCTCTCTAGCTCTTGTGTCTTCACTTCTCCATTTCCTTCTTCATCAAACATCTCAAAAATTACATTGTATTTTTTGATCTGTACTTGTGATAATTTGCTGACCTGGAAGGAAATGAAATTGGGGAAACTTTTTAAGAAGCTGCAGTTTTATGCTGCCAACAATATTTATTAGAGGACTGTTAATCATGATCCTAAAACCTCTCATTTCAAGTTAGTCATTTTAGATATTATTCAAATTAATAACTATTAATAGTTAATTCTCAAGATAGCATACTCACCAATTTTTCAGGATTATATAGAAACGAGTCAGTGCAAGTACTGTGTGTACCAAAAACACTTAATGCACAATAAGAGGATGTCTTAGCCTCATCATTTCTAAATGTTTAATGCTCTTTCCCCAGAGTTTAGAAAAGCCTGCCAGAAGACCATTTATGGCACTTAGAGGGTGGACTTGCTAATCACCCATGAGGAATAATTTGATACTGATCTCACCCATCAAATGCAACACAGCTACACTGGAAAATAACTAGTTTGTATAGCTTTAAATTCGTCAAATATCCGTATTTTTAGAGAAAGTAACAGCAACGCAGCAAAATATTGTAAACAATCAGATGCATTTTTGTGTGACCTCAGTGTCACATGACGACACAGTTATGGGAACTGCAATTAGCTTAGTGTGGCCCATTAGCAGGTGTTTGCACAGCCCCCCGGTGACTTTTATGAAAGCTGACATCCAAATAAGGAGGCACTCAACTGCAAGATGTTATTTTCAACATTACAATGGGAACATTAAGAATTTCACATTTGTTAGCTGAGTGAAAGAGCTGTGTATCAGTGTACACCTCATTCCTCTTGTGAGCTAATTCAGTGCAGAGTGCAGAATTTAAAAGGACACAACATAGAAATCAAAATTAAAAGTTATGTGAAGCTATTAGCATTTAATATGTAGATTAGGTAATAGGCAATGAAATAATAGTTACTTTTAAAAAAACACATTACTACCAGCTGTCAGGTGAATTTCATGAGCTGAATTTACCAGGTTCCTGTCCTTCTAGTTAAGCAATTACATGACTAAGATCATTGTGACATTTGCAAATAAAAATAATATGACCGGGAGAATTCACATACATTGAATTATAACTTACACAGCAATGTGGGAATACTTTTCCTTCTGCATCTGCATGTTGAAATCAAATGACTGCTTTCATTCATGATCAAAATGTAATATTAAAATGATACTGACAAGCCATAATAAAGATGGTCATGATAATCCAAATGTTATGCCATTTGTTTTTATTCCACGGGGTCACTCAGAGGTATGGTACTAAAGAGATTCTATGTATTCTTCGTTTTGCTGATGGCAAAGATTATAGTAGATAAATCCTGTCGTAAAATGTGAGTCTAACAAAAATAAAGAGGGAAAGGTAAACACAGTGGCTTTTCACATGCTGTGTATTAAGAAGAGATTTGTCAAACACTATTTTCAATGTTACCGATTCCCATCTTGTCTATATATTTTTATATATATGTGGACCATCAGTACCAATAATTGATTCAAGGTTTTCAAGGTTTAGTTATGCAGGGTAGTGATGGATGATGAATGGATGATGCGAGAAGGAAATGAATGTAGGAAGATCAGGTCTTATGTCATCTGAGCCTACTTTGAGCTCCAGATGGTATCTTGAAAATGGAGAGAAGGGATAGTAGTCTGATTGAAAGAGGAAGGATGGACAAGATGCAGCGAGGGCTTAGATAATGAGAGGATGTGGTGACGGGTATGAATAAGATGGAATTTGTGAGGCAAGTGAGGACAAAGAGGTTGGTAGTCGCTAACTAGGTAGCTAAGAAATTTGCCTGACAGGTGATTACATGTGGAACTTTAGTTAATGTCTTTACTACATTTACTCAACCAAATCCATTGCAGGTTTTTTTTTTCTGTATGACATTCCTGAGCTACTTGTTTTTTCTGGTATGGATTAATTGGATTGTTATATTCTAGTTTGTCTAGTATGTATTTCTTACATGAACTGGGTCCAATTAGGATTTTTTTACGAGTGTATTTGTGCATCAGATGACTGCTTAGTATGACTAAATTAAATATCAAAACCGCTCATGCCACCAAAATAGCTTTATTCTGTCAGGTCATGAAACGGGACCTCTGGGGGTGTCCTGTGGTATCTGGCACTGTGAAGTTGGCGGGGGATCCTTTGGGTCCCATGGATTGTGGGGTGGGAACAGATAAGGTTTGTTTCATGCCATCTCACAAATGCACTATAGCTCACATGGGTAAAATAATGCTCGAGGGCAGGGATCAGCCTTGAACCATCTCAATCTAACCCCCGATGTCCTAAGAGAAAAGCAAAACAAATGCCAGTGAAATCAGAGTGTAATCACTGATGAAGGAATCTTGAGGTGAATGACTGCACTGGGTCCACACAGCTATTTAATTTTAATTCAGTGCTGTTTTTTTTTTTTTTTTAATATCAGTGACCTAGTAGTAGTGCAGTAGTACATATCATGCAACTGGCAAGATGTAGGCTAATTTAAAATGTATATAACAACTTTTTCATTTGGATTTTTTAAGCCTGTGCGGCCCTCTGGGAAAAAAAAATCTTACCTACCCCCTACTCTATCAGTTAGGGATTCATGGAATGTTGAGGCAGGGTCAAGTAGCAGCTATGTCATTGTGTCTTTGCTAGGGTGTGTATACTCACTCTGCAAGAGCATTTTGGCTGCTGGTGCAATCAAAGTAGCATTGATATGTATGCTCACCAACAAGATTTTCCAGCAGAAAATTGCATTGCATCGCGGCATATGTTGAAAAAGTAATCATACAATTTTTGTGAGTGTTTTTTCCCCAGTTGCTTTCTTATTTTGAATCATGAACTTTGACCTTAAGTGCAATAACTGAGGCTTCCAGTTCTTTAGATGTTGTAATGGGTTCTTTGTGACCTCCTGGATGAGTCGTCGGTGCACTCATGGAGTAATTTTGACAGATCGGCCACTCATGGGAAGGTTCACCTCTGTTCTAAGTTTTTTTTAATTTGTGGATAATGGCCTTCACCGTGGTTGACTGGAAAAAAAATCTTGGAAATGGATTTGTAACCCAGAATCATAGATGTGAGTGGCTTTATCATCTATTCTTGGGTTGCTTTTGAGACCTTTTAACTTGCTATTTAATTACTTGATGTCTTGATTCTGCAGGTCTGGCAGTAATCAGGCCTGGGTGTAGCTCCTGAAATTGAGCAAATGCCCCCCCCTACAGTACTGTACTGAAATCATGATTACCACTTCCTACTTTAGAAGCGAAGTTGGGGCCCTGTTTACTCGATCTTTAACTTAGGCTCCTTTGCTGAGAACATAAGCAAACACTGTGCTCTCTTAAACTGTATTGTGCTCGAATTAAATACGCGTGTACAAAATTAGACGTGCTAAACATCGCTGCAAGGGGGCTGATGATAATTGTAGCATCTCCAGTTATAGAACTCCAATCGAAGGTTCTCTCTCCCTCTCTGCTGCAACGTGGGGTTTCCCAGCGCTGACTGCAGGGTTACCGCGCCCATCTCATCGCTCGGTGGCCGGACAAGAGTGTTACTACGGAAAGGGCAGATGTTAAGCTCGGCAAAAGGGAGACAGTAGGCTGTCTTGTTGGGTGAGCTTTAGTGAATTTAAAGATTGGCTTTTTATCTGCCTGGGCAGTGCCTTCATTAAAGGGCTTTAGTGGGTGTGATTCCCCCCTCTCCGTCCCCTCCCCTCTCCGGTTGGTTGACTGAGGTTGTCAAGCTCCCCCAGCCGTAGCCTGCGTTCGGGAAGGGCTACTCCTCGGAAAACTACGCTAGCTGGCTTAAGCTAGTTAGTAAGCTAGCGTTGTGGTGTTCGTTGATGCGTGGATCGGAGATACACACCGTCCCGTGTTCCAGTCAATGCCCAAACTCAAAAACAGGCGCAAATTGAATCAGGTAAGGCAAAATGAAGCGACCAGCACACTGCTTTTAGAGCTGTAATCGTAACTGTTCTACCTTTAGCTAATGAATTGTGGCGGAATTGAACTGCCCGGGGGTGGGGTAGCAGTAGCCTAGCCTTCTAGTTAGCAGGGGTTAGCTAGCATTAAGTTGGCTATTTTGCCATAAGAGTGTTTGCATCGGTGGATCCCGGTGTAGAGTATTAGCTGCAAATTAAATGACAGAACTTAACTAGTATCCAAGCATCTGAGCAACGTTAGCTACAATTAATGTCGGAGGAAGCTTCTGGCTGGCGTTTAAGTAATAATGTTGGCCCAGCGGAGGTGCTTCTTGATATAAAATGCATTGATAACCATATGGTATAAGAGACAACTGCAGTAATCATGCTTAAATTTAAAGCTTCACTGATTGCACTGACTTACATTATAATCGAAATGGTATATTTAAAGATTTTGTGAGTTGATGATGACATACTGGGTTGGGCTGGAACAATAAACGTCCCGTAATAACAGCAAACAGTGTTTTTCTTGTGATTAAAAAGAGTGGGTTATAGCATCACCTGTTAACTCTGCGCACGCTTCTGTGGATTAAATTGCATCACTTATTTAACGTAAATGCCATTGCCGCGTTTACACCCTGTTTTTACCAGCCGAGCAAATAAGTTAGCATATCGGTGCCTGTCTGCAACAAAACGGCCGCGTCGATGCAACGCCTTAACTCGTGTTGGGAACATTACTTATCAACAGCCAGCTAACTTGCAGGTTTCATGGATTTAGTTTATTTTTTCTTTCTGTATTCGCTTATTTTCTGAAAGGTCATTTGCTTTATGAAAAACACCCAGCCCCCCCCCTTTTTTTTTTCTTCTTGCATTTGTCGCTTGCTGGAGTAAAACAGGCCATCGCCGCCCGACCTTGCAGTTTTACAGTCTTCCCCCTCCCTCCGTCTGCTGCAAGATTAAAAGGACCAAATAAATTTACGCGGTAATCAAATTAACTTGGAAGTACTGCGTTTAACAAGATTGTTAGTATGTAAGTAAGTGGATCTCCGAAGGCCAATCCACAAGCCAGTTTTCTGGTTTACCCACTGTTGCTTAAAAGCTAACTACATAGCACCCTGTATAATTGCGGAAGAGCGGCGGAGTCTTCCCTGAAGTGACTGTGGTTACGTTATTTTGCATTAGATAATTCTGGCTATTTGGTTCGCGTGTTATGAAATTTTGCGAGTGTTGCGTTACATTGACTCTGCTCGTTTCCAGACATTTTTAACCCTTGTGTGTAACTGTTCTTAATAAGGTGACTTTAATTTTTTGAATATTAGCTCTGCCCTGCCTGCAGGCCTACGCTGTCGAGCTTGCTAACAAGCTAACTAGCGGACAGCAGTCTGCAAGATGGCGTTTAGCTGCATCTTCAGTGCAAGTCATATTATCTTTACACTGTGCAGCACTCAGTATTTTTGCCACCTTATTGTGCAGAATTGCGTGTAATTTCCTCCTGAAATGTGCGTGCAGCCTCTGTAGAGTAACCTACTAAACAAATTCAAACCAAAAGCGGAGTCAAAACAGCTATCCGGCAGCCATTCAAATGCAACGCAAAGTCCAATGCAAATGATTTCATTGTGACTGTTGTAGGCAAATCACAGTACTGCACACAATGTCTGTGTCAACTATCAGTACAACCCGTACACTGTTGGTTAAACCTTTGCACACAAACACGTTAGTTCATGCTGTTGATTTATACTAGTACATTTTATTTCTGTCACAAAATCTGTTTGCATTGTTGTTAAAACTACCAATAGTGTTTTGAAGTTAATTGTATGTTACTGGATTCCTTCAGAAAGTAGTCCTACTTGTATCTGGTCACAACTGCATGAGAGGATCTGTAATATGGTTGCGATGTCATTGGAAGCTGAAAATCCTGGCAATTTCTCAAAGCAAGTGCCTGGATTAGTTGTGTGTAAAAGAATTAAGATTAATCTCATCCTTTTATGATTGGAAAAACATATTTCTAATGCCTGGACAGGCTTCGCCAGCTGTTTACATTAGTGGACATGGATAGGATTAGAGACTCATTGACTGAGGATTTTAGCTTTTAGGATTATGGAGTTGCTCAGTGATACTGCTGGTTATGGCTTTTTCTGTGATCCAGCTTTAGACCTGTGAAACATTGCATTATTATTATTATTTAACAGTACAGATAAGCCGGTATGTTCTTGAGAACAAATGTTTGTTTATCTAGTGAAACATACACATTTAACTGAAAATGTAGAAGACACCTAAAATAGCAGACGCAATCTACCCTTAAGGGACTTGAAAACTAGTGAGCTGCAACTTCAGGCTGTTTGCCACTGCTCATTGTTTATCATGCAGTCAGCTGACCCTGATCAGGCGCTTGGAAAGGAGAAGTGATGAGGGAGAGGAACTCCTTAACTGTAAGCATCCACAGAGGTCAACAAGATTGAATTTGTATTTTATTTTTTTAATTTCTGAATGTAGAATATTTAAAACTCAGATTTATAACATGACTTCAGGCTATTCCACATTAATATTTGCCACTGGAATTTATTTTTATTTTTTGGGGAATTTGGCAGTTTAAGAAAGAACAAAAAGATGTAGGTGTCTTATTTCATCTGACTCAAGTTTGAATTTAAAACATTGAACATTGAGTAGCACTTTAAAACTAACAGCTTTTCATAGTTTAGTTGTGATAGATACTCATCAGTTTAACTTAAAAGAATTTAATTTAAATTCATTGGAAAAGTTCAAAATCAGGCAGAGTTACTTATGTAACCTCCTTTTTCTGTAGTTGTTTCCAACTCTGTGTACTAAATAAAAACTCTTGTTTTATTTTTGAGTTCATGGGATTAATTATACTTAAAGTTAAGACAGGAAACTCTACATTAGCATAGTAAATATTTCTAACTTCAATTATTAGTTCTTTTATTTCTCTCAGGTTGAGAGAAGTTGGGAATATAGTTTTAAAATGATGTTTTAAGAGGTTTTCAAGGTGAGAATGGCATCCTGCTGTCACTGGATGATGCTTAATCATGATTACTTTCCATGACACATTTATAAGATTAATGAGCATAAGAGGATAACTTGAGTTAGAAAGGCCAACCAGTCAGACAACTTAGACGATTGTGTAGATAAGGTTGAGAAGACTTTCAGTCTTGTCCTGCAACTTCCAGTAACATAGGTGAGCTGACGGAAAAACACAAGGTAAGGTAACTAGTAGGGCAGTGCTAGTTAACTTGATCTTTAGTAACTTTACAATCATATTTAAATCTGTATTGCATTTTGTTTTTAATTTCTGGGTTAATTAGGTTTGGTAATGTTATTTATTTTTCACTTTTAAGCTGTTACATGTGTAACAAGTAAAAATTCAGAGTTTAACTTTGTGACCGTTGTCTTCAGTATCCGTATAATAGAAGGAAGTTACAATTCTTTAGAAAAAATTTGGCTTCCAAGCGTTCACATGTTCTAACAATACAATAACTCTTGAATCTGTAGAAAATTATGGCTGATCTTACATTTGGTCAAAACTGAGAGTGTTTTCTCCACTTCAGGTTGGTAACTTATTTACTCTTTGCAGTTCAATACAGAAGTATCCGTTTCCCATTTTAAATGCAAAGAGATGTCCCGTGTGCAGCTTCAGGTTGGTTTTGTAAAGTATTTTTGTTCACCGCACTTCATTATTCATTAGATGGATTTTACCACAAGGTTATTTGTCTTCCAGGATAACTGGAGTCAGTATAAGAACATTTGTCCAACTAATAATCCTCCTACTGACCTTATTATTAAATTCAGTTCTATATTCATAAATCCATTCCTACCTGTTGATTGCAGCCATCTTTTAGGTGTTTCATTCTTCTACCTTAGGAAAACCGTACTTTTCATTACTCTAAGTATGCTGACGTGGACGTTACTGAAATGGACAGTTAACAAATGTTCCAACCATAACAGAAATTAAAATGGTAGATGAATCTGTCATGCTAAATGCAGTTTTTAATTCAGTATTGCATTGCTGAGCTTTTGTCTTTTTCCTGATATCTTACATGTGAATGAAATCAGTGTCTCATACAAAGAAACTGATTTCAGACACACTGGGAATGGTATATATATATATATATCTCATCAGTAAAATTAATATGTATATATTTTATTAGCTGAACTTTGAGCGTGCTTCGCGGCTCTGTATTAATATAAGTGGCTTATTGATCACTGAAATTCTGAGTATCCCAGGGATTGAGGTCAACAGGATAATGACTGCTTTTCGGATCACTGGAAAGTCATGCGTTAACAAGATTTGTCTGGCAATATGAATTGTGTGTCAGGATTTAGCTGGTGACATTGAGGTGGGAAAGTAAGGTTGAAGCATGAACTGCACATTGGACATATTGTAGGTAAACAATTTTTATTTTTATTTATTTATTTTTTTGCCATCAATTCAATCAAAACAATCTTGGTGAAAATCTTTATCCACTGCAGGTCTGTGAGCTGCGTTCAGACCCATTTTGCGTTTGTCTTCATTACAGCTTTGATTTTAAAATGGTTTGCTTGAAAGATTAAAGTTCCTCATATTTCCTTTGTTTGTGTTGCTTTTTTTTTTTTTTAGAGCAACAAGTGCCCGTGGTAGCTGGAGTAAGGTAATTGAAAAAGCAGAATAAGATGAGTGAACTGGACCAGTTACGCCAAGAGGCAGAGCAGCTCAAGAATCAGATCAGAGTGAGTAACAAAGTATCACTTCTCCACATAAAAGCATACAGACGTTTATTCTGAAAAATCTGACAGCCCTTCCAGTCGAGACTGGTGTGAGATGGAAAATGTCTGACCAAAGTGTTGACCCCCCCTTTTTTTTTTTCTTTTTTTTTTTGTGTCTCCTCAGGATGCCAGGAAAGCATGTGCAGATGCCACACTATCACAGGTAACATTTAACTTTTCATAGTGTTTGGGTTGAAAAGCATTTGATGGGAAATGAACCTTATAGCACTTAATGTTTTACAGATCACAGCTAACATTGACCCCGTTGGCCGAATCCAGATGCGTACAAGACGAACGCTGCGGGGCCATTTGGCTAAAATATATGCCATGCATTGGGGAACAGATTCTAGGTAAAACCTAACAGCCAGAATATGATTTGTGGAGCATAGTGAACTTTGTGTCTTTCAGCAGTTTATGCATATTTTTCTATTGTTTTTAACTCTGGATAAAAAATAGATGCGTGACAACCCCTGGATACTGTGTTAGTGATGTTCATATTACTGTTCTTTTCTTTTTTTTGTAGGCTCTTGGTCAGTGCCTCTCAAGATGGCAAACTTATTATTTGGGATAGCTATACCACAAATAAGGTAATTTTCTTCATTTTTTTTTTTATTATGAGGACTAATGGAATAATAGGCAAACCTTGTGTTTAATCTAGTTGAGAGTCAGTAACAACACAGCCTTACAAAGCGCAGACAAAAAAAGTGCGGTCATCTTCATTCTGATTTTTTTAAAATGTTTACATAGATTGGATACTAAGTGATCTTGAAATTAATAAAACTATATAAATTTAGTTTACCTTTTAAGTTGTTCCTTTTGTACTATGTTGTACTTCTTTATGGGATAAAACAATTTTTTTGAACCTATGAGGCTATGTTGAATTGAAAAGAGGGAAAACTTATATTTAAAAGTGTTGCAGATCAGCTGAGCAAGAGGCATTTGTGCCCTTTCCCCTGAGGCTGATGTGTCTGGTGTGCAGTTGTTGATATCGGAGGAATGAGTACACTGTTTTAATGCCTAAAAGGTAATCTGGCTTCTCCACCAAAGACAGAAGTTTCTTCGGGATCCTTAAAAAGCTTTCTGACTTGTTTGGGATACTGAAGAACCTTTTGGGATAATATAATTTAACATGATACTGTGGACAATGATCCAGCTGGTAATAAAAAAGATTAAAGGGTAATTCTTCCAACATTAAAGGGTAGATAGAGGTTTGATTTGTTTATGGGATACTTTAATGCAAGGCTGGTTATTTCATCCTCTTGTTTAATTAAGCTGTTGCATTATGGTGTCCCTAAGCAGCAGATTATTGACTAATATCATGTTCCCATTGAAATGGAAAAATTATGGCCGTGATTTTTACAGGATGCTGTCTAATATCTCAACAGTGCAGCCTCTTCTGAGTTGTAGCTTGGGTCACAAGAACTTACTTTGTGATCTGGCAGTACCTCACAATAGCTTATTTTTATAGTTTAGACTTGAAAAGAATTTGGCAGGTTTTTTTTTTGTTTTTGTTTGTTTTGTTTAGAAACATCTTTTGTTCAGTTTAAATTTCAGGCCTAGGCTTGTCCTCGAGGGAACCATTGGAAACTTGTCAGCAAGCCACCAGAGCGTTCTTTGCTGTAAGCTTTGGTTCACTGCTGCAGTCAGGTTGTTGCGCTCTGGAGATTTTTTTTCTTTTCTCTTAAAGGAACCTTGTGTTTGGCTTCTGTCTAACTACTCTACCATAAAGACCTTTTTGATGACGTGCTGACATGATTGTCTTCCTGGCAGAACTTTCTAAACTGTTTAATCCAATAATTTTGACATAGGTCAACTCTACTGAAGCCCTACACACAAATTTTAAGGACACATTAAATCCTGCAGGACACAGCTGACTACAGCGTTGAGTGCTATAGCAAAGGGTCTGAATACTTGTTTAAAAGAAAGCTTGAAACTTTGAAGTGTAAAAAGTGAAGGAGTTGCAGTACTTTCTAAATTGTATAAATAAGTATTGACATTTATTTTATGCTTTATAAAGGCAGACTGACATTGTTGTGTGTTAGTGTTTAAATGCCAAATTTAGTTATTGTAACATTGCTCTCCAAAAGGTATGTAATCCTATTTTGAAGATTTTTTTTCTTTGACAAAATGGAACTTAAGTATCTGTGCATGTGTCTGTTTGTTACTCTATAGGTTCATGCCATTCCACTTCGATCTTCCTGGGTCATGACTTGCGCATATGCGCCTTCAGGAAACTATGTGGCCTGTGGTGGCTTAGATAACATCTGTTCCATCTACAACCTGAAAACACGTGAGGGGAATGTACGTGTGAGCCGTGAGCTCGCTGGACATACAGGTAAATGGTTGTAAATGTCTTCTCAAACAGCAAAGTATCAGTTAAAACATGCTTCTTTTGCCATATTGTCTATGTTAACTTATAGTTGGATTCAACAAAACAGTGGCATGATAAGGTGTATGTTGCTTTAAAAATTTGTGTTAGCCTTTTTTTTTTTTCTTTTTTTTTTTTTAAATTTTCAATGAATTTTAAATAACTGATCTATTTACTGCTAATTGATGATTAGTCGTAACTGCAAGTAGGGGTTAAATGTGCACTGCTAGTTCTACATTTGTCTTTCACTTGTGTATTAATGACTTCTATTGACTCAATATTAGGATACCTGTCCTGTTGTCGCTTTCTTGATGACAACCAGATTGTTACAAGCTCTGGAGATACCACTTGGTGAGTGAAAAGATGACATTGAGTTCCGTTAATGAGCAGTTAACGTGCTAGACAACAGGCAAACTGATTCTAAATCCTTTATTTCACAGTGCACTTTGGGACATTGAGACTGGCCAGCAGACAACCACATTTGCTGGACACACCGGTGATGTCATGAGCCTGTCACTCGCCCCTGACTCAAGGTTATTTGTCTCTGGTGCTTGTGATGCCTCTGCTAAACTCTGGGATGTTCGAGAGGGCATGTGCAGACAGACATTTACTGGCCATGAGTCTGACATTAATGCCATCTGTGTAAGTTCCATACACATGTAAATACAAGTGTTTTGCTTGCTAAATTTGTTTCCTGTTTGTTATTTCGATCAATAATTGGACAATAATTATTTCTGTTTTTGGAACTTGCAGTTTTTCCCTAATGGAAATGCCTTTGCCACGGGCTCTGATGATGCCACCTGCAGGCTGTTCGATCTGCGTGCTGATCAGGAATTAATGATCTATTCTCATGACAATATCATATGTGGCATCACCTCTGTGGCATTCTCAAAGATTGGCCGCCTTCTTCTGGCAGGATATGATGACTTTAACTGCAATGTGTGGGACACACTAAAAGCTGATCGTGCTGGTTAGTATTGCTGAAAAAGCTTTTTATCTCCTTAGTGTTGGTAAATCCCAAGAGCACTTTGTAACATCCAAATTGATGTGACCTGTATTTCCTTAGTGCACTACTGTTAACTAAATGACAATTATGATTGCTTATAGGTGTGTTGGCTGGACATGACAACCGCGTTAGCTGCCTGGGGGTTACTGATGATGGCATGGCAGTTGCAACAGGATCCTGGGACAGTTTTCTGAAGATCTGGAATTGAAGCCTGAAGGTTCTTTTACTGTTTGATTGTTTTTTGTTTTTTTTGTTGTTGTTTTTTTTTTTGCATATATTATTATTATTTTTTTTTTGTTATTATTATTATTATTTTTTACATTTGTATCCAAATAAATGCCAATTTCCCTCCAAAATCCAGTTACCGTTACGCTTGTTCCACACTTGGTTGTTGTTTGTAATGGGACACAATCAGTGCTTGATCTTTGTCCATCAAGTTTTAAGGTCTTAACCTGGCAGAACATTAAAAAAAAAAAAAAAAGGCTAAACAGTAGGTCAGATTAGATTATTCAAATCTTAAATTTAACCTTTCTTTGTTTCTCAGATGTTCATTTAACTCCAAAGTTGACTGGAAGACCATTACAACTTGAGAATGTTCACAGCATCTTCTTCAACACTGTTTAAACTGACTTGGACACCACAAAAACGAAGGGAAACCAATGCCTTTCCTACACAAAGAAGAGCACAATTGTTTATCACCTAGTTAAGAAAGGATCTCCTGTGGTATCAAATCCAAAACTTGTGCATTCCTTCTTGGACCATTTTATGTTACCTTGAAAGAGAAAACAACACTATCATCCCATGCAAATGTGTGCGTCTTGAAAGCAAATGTTGGAGTGTAATTGTACAAATTATTTAACTTTTTTCCTTTTTTTTTCTTCTTTTTTTTTCTTTTTTTTCTTTTCTTCTTTTTTTTTTAAGATTTCTATTCTGATGGTTTGTTATTCTTGATGGCTTTTTTTTTTTTTGTCATATTTCTTTAGTGGTTTTAGATATGTTTGAATTACAGCTTGTCTTTCTAATCCAGGTGAATCATATAAGACAGATGAGAAAAACATGCAGAAGTAAAAAGCTTGGATCATATTACACGAGCAGCTTTCAAAATGTCCATGATGTATTTATATACTAGCTGTTTTTGTTTCATCACAGCCTTTTGCACATGAAGCTTTGCCTCTCAACTAATACTGTGTTAACTAACCAAGCACATGCTATAAGTTATGAATGCTCATTCCAGTACAGAAAGAGTTATTACCAGTAAATTATCCAGTTAAGCCCCTTAATTCTTGTACATGCCTTTGACTTTTGGTGGGAAGGGTTTGGTTTAGGGTGCTGAGGTAACTGAGGCATGGCTCGATTTTACTATATGAAAGGGGATTTGTGTTTCGTATCCACTTTGAGTGAAACACCTCACCTGACTTAATAGACACTTCCTTTGCTTGGGACTGCAGTTGCAACTCTGTGAATGAAATGTACAAAATCAATGTCTGAAAATAATGGTCTGTTTTAAGTTAAGACATTTAATTTTGTCTGCCACGAGTTAATTTAGATGTGCATGCTGTAGACTTGCTTTCAATGGTGCAAAAATCCTAGATTTTTCTTTTGTTTCCAAAAAGGAGAGTAACCTGTTGATTGAACTTAATAGAGGCCAATTTATTTTTGGCTCAAACTCTGCATACATACATCATGTACTAATACTGGTAACGCTATGCACCAGAATGAGCAAGAATGGAAACAGACTTATTATACTTAATGTAAATTATGCTTACCAGTTCTATTGATGCCAATTTTGTAATAATTATAACAATCATTGTGAGAAATCTATCCTTGAAAAGTCCTCTCTCCTTCAAATCTTCACACACACAATGGAACAGAAATGTCCTCACACACTGTCCATACTAAAACTTTTTGTACACACCCCCCCCCCCCTCCCATTGGTCTTAAATTTGAAAATCAGAACATCTGAATGACAACATTTTCACTGTATACAGAAGCACTTTTGTTAAAGTTGTGACATATTTTCACTTTTTTTTTCTTTTTCTTTTTTTTTTCCTTTCTGCGATGATGTACAATAAATGTGATGTATTCGTGTATGGCCACAAGTGAAAATGCAATTCAACTGAGGTGGATTCCCTTTTCTCTTTCCATTAATATTATAGAGCTCTGCACCCTTATGTACCTATTCACTTTTTGTATTTCATTTCGGTCTGTTGGTGTTCCACGGTGAGCTGGATGCAAGATAGATACTGTACTAAATTGTACTGTTATTGATTGGAAAATGTAATAAAAAGCTGTTTGAGATCTTGCTTTGTGTTTTTGTGAGGGTTCTGTCAGAATCTTCTGATGTGCCATTTAAACAATTCACTGCTTTGTGCAGCTTTGAGTTTTTGGAGGGAGCCTTAAAAAAACAAAACAAAAAAACAAAACAACTAACTTGTATGCAGTAATTGTATTGTGTTCACTAAAGAGAGACCGGATTTGTTTTTCTGATCTATGCAGAAGGAATTGTGATGCATCTGGATGCAGAAATTTTTTTGAGTTTTTTAAAATTGTGTAACAGTGCTTGTATTATTACTCTTTATTGTCAGATTTCAGCAACATAATTTTATATGGTACTTTTTTTTTTTCCTTCCAAGGATTTCAAAGTCACTTTCATATGACTTGAAGTAAAAATTTTCATTTGCACCCTGGTTAAAAACCAAGAAGAAGGCCCTGCTTCTGCTGGTGTAGATGTCTGTGCTGGTGGGGCTTTCACCGCCCTCACCAGAGTACTAGCAAACCTCAGGTTCATGAGAAAGAATTGGTGTCCCTTCGTAAGTAGGTAGCAAGTGTTATGGCTCCAGGTAAAGTTTCCAATGAGATACACCAAGGTACCTGAAAGTGGAGGCCACTCCCACAGATGAAGTGCAGAGGAGGAGGGGAGTTACCTTTTCTGCCGAAACCAATGATCATCACCTTTATTATCCCTGCACCAGCTTCCGTTGCTTTACCTCTTGTCTGTAGTCAGTCAATGTTGATCCCCAAACTTCTAAAATTGGTTTGTAAAACTGCTGCATGCACATGGAACTTTAAAGTTTCACTGTTCAAGTGAACAACATCCTATTAGGGGGATAAGCCATGCAGAAAGACCAATTATCTGAAAATGACTTAATATTGAAAAAGCCAGTCTCTTCATCATAACTGGATTTTTTTAAGTTCACCCCAAACCGACGCAATAATGCATTTTACATTAACATGGGCATGACAGCTATGCTTTAGACACGCTCCAGTCTTCTGAAATTTGAAAGGCGGGGGCGTATTTACCTACAATTTAAAAATGTAGGTAAATACTTGTGATCCTAACTTCTTATTATCTGTCTGGCTTTCAAAGTTTGTATAGCTCATTCAAACCGCCATCTTCCAATCTCCAGCCAACAAACGGAAGCTGTTGTTGTAAATGACATACACTAGGCCTTATCTACTCCGTTTACGGGGGGGGGGAAACAAAATTCACAATTAACTGTTAAGTTTAATTGTTTATATTGCATTTAATCAATATAAACTAGTAAAGTAAAACATACAATATTAGCCTTAGAATGCATTACGTAGGTACTTACTTACAACTGCTACTTACTTTTACCGACACAGACAGGACACCGCCCCCCGCCTGCCTGGGTGAAATGAAACCTTCCAGTTTAGTGACGTAGTTCCTTCTTCGCTTAGATAATGCCATTTTGCTAGCCTTACATGGCGCTGTTATTTTTCGCCTCGTGGAAAAATACTCGTCTGAGCTTTCCTTACTTTGCATGTTGGACGAGACAAGCGCTTTATTTAAGTTGCACCACTCCTCTGGGCCGAGCAAACTATTTTTAGGAAAACGTTACATCTTTTTGTTTAGCTGACGGAATTTGCGCAGTTTTCTTTTCAACAGGCACGTTAGAGCGGTCGTCGTCCGGTGTTGACGGCACAGATCCCCGTCCCAGCAAACAAAGGAGCAGTAATATCGTTGCCCGCTTTTAAGCGCAATCTAAAAGTAGCATTATTGATTAAATCATTTGGATGTAAACTAGCCCCGACGCCGTTTTAGTTTTTTGTATTTGAGAAGTCTTTGTCTCAAGTATAATAAACAGTTTAGCCTGACTCATTCAGTCCTGTTAGCGTCATCGGTTAAGGTTAGCCGATTCTGTGGACAATTAGCGAGCTAACCGCTAGCATTGTTTTGCTTCTGCGAGTAAGTTTTATTTTTGCGGGGAAATGGCTGAGGTGTACATTCGAGTGGCGGAGGAAGAAAATGAGGAGCCCATGGAGATTCCCTCCGAAGACGACGGCACTGTTCTTCTTTCCACCGTGGCGGCTCAGTTTCCTGGGGCTTGCGGCCTGCGGTTCAGGAGCCCCGTGTCTCAGTGCATGAGAGGAGTGCGACTCGTGGAAGGGGTCCTGCACGCGCCAGAAAATGGATGGGGGAATGTCGTGTACGTGGTGAACTATCCAAAAGGTAAGGATTGGTGTTTTTCCTTGTTCTTATTTAAACCTAGAGACTTTATCCGAACAGGTGGGCAGATGTTATTTATAATTCATGAAGTAGCTTCAGGTTACTGAAAATAGATAAGTGACGTGACAAGTGACTTGGTCACGCCCACCAGAGTTCGGGCACTAAATCCATTCATTAAAAAGAGCACCAAAGGATTGATTTTGTTCCTTAAAGTCCTTCTGCCAAACCAAGTACCTATATTGCTGGACTTTGTTTTGAAGGGCATGATTATTTTAACCTTACCATTTGGTGGTGTTTTTGTTTCGCCCGATTCCATTAAGGAACTTTTTAATTAAGATTTAATTAAGAGCTGACTGGGTTTTCACCAAAGGAATATCACCAGAACTGATTTTAAATTATTATTGTTCAAGTGGTGTGCAATTTGTTTTATTAAATGTCAAGGGAAAGAGGGAAATGCATAAACTACTAACTATATAAGAATTTTATATTTTGCATTTTGGTTGTATAGCTTTTAAAATATTAACCCCCCCCATCTTTCCATTTAGACAATAAAAGAAAAATGGATGAAATCGATGCCTCTTCTGCCGTGAAAATGAAGAGGGGCGATATGAAAACATCGGACCTGATTGTATTGGGTCTTCCTTGGAAAACGACCGAACAGGACCTTAAAGACTACTTTAGCACGTTTGGTGAAGTCATCATGGTTCAGGTATTACTTGGATAGTAAAACATTTGCGTTGATTTGCAATTTTTTATTTGTTTTATTTTATTATTTTTGCTGGTGTTTTATTTTTTTCTTCTTTCATAGGTGAAACGGGATGCCAAGACCGGAAACTCTAAAGGATTTGGCTTTGTGAGGTTCACAGAGTATGAAGCTCAGGAAAAGGTGATCTCTCAGCGCCATATGATCGATGGGAGGTGGTGCGACTGCAAGCTCCCTAACTCGAAGGTGAATATGGTAATGCCCATGCATATACCCACACACTATGGGAATCAAAACTAAGCCAATACTGTGGTTAACAATCTGTAATGCTAATGCACCCTCCTTTCCTCTTTACAGCAAGGTCCTGATGAGCCACTAAGAAGCCGCAAAGTGTTTGTAGGCCGTTGCACGGAAGACATGACCACAGATGATCTACGACAGTTCTTTATGCAGTATGGAGAAGTCACAGATGTGTTCATTCCCAAGCCATTCCGTGCTTTTGCCTTTGTTACATTTGCAGATGATCAGGTAACGTATGAAATATGTAGAAGGTATTTCTTTCCTTCTTTATTGGTGTTGCTTGCGTCCACATAATCAAATTTTTTTTCTCCTTTCACAGGTTGCCCAGTCTCTCTGTGGAGAAGACCTTATTATCAAAGGAGTCAGTGTTCACATCTCAAATGCTGAGCCCAAACATGGCAATAGGCAGTTTGATCGCACAGCACGATTCGGAAATGGTTTTGGGGCTCAAGCATTTGGTAGCAGCCGTAGTGGGTTAGGGAGCAGCACTAACAGTAGTCTGGCTAATTTTGGTTCCTTCAGCTTGAACCCTGCCATGATGGCTGCTGCACAGGCTGCTCTGCAGAGTAGTTGGGGTATGATGGGTATGCTGGCTAGCCAGCAGCAGACATCCACCTCAGGCAGCACCTCCAGTGGAACGAGCTCTAGTAGAGACCAGAGTCAGTCTTTCAGTACAGGCAACAGTAACTACGGCACCAGCTCAGCCAGTCTTGGCTGGGGAACAGGGTCAAACTCTACAACCAGTGGTAGTGGGTTTAGCTCAGGTTTTGGGTCCAGCATGGAGTCAAAGTCATCTGGGTGGGGTATGTAAGTTAAGTGTTTGTATGGTAAGTACTGCGAGAAAGACGAGTCATTTCGAAATTTATTTCTGGTGTTGATGCGTATCTGAAAACTTAACACTTTTGCGTGAAGATGTTTTGTACATTTGGAAAAAAATGCTAAAGATTTAATTTAGGAAGTGTTGAAGTGAATTGTTTACCAGGATGTCTGAGAAAAGTGCTATTTTTGATGTCTCATTTGTTTGTATCCATTTCAACTGGATTCTCTAATGCATGTATTGTGAAATGTGATAACCATTTTTGAAAATGCATGAATGTTCGTGGTTCACCATTATCCGGCATTGTCATCGACCTAAAAGGCAATCTTGCATTGGGAAGAATCTGGTTGAAACATAAATGTTTTAAGTGCAACTTTATTTGCAGTCAAGTTCTATGGAAAAGCCTTCATTGAAATCTCTTCTGCAGTTCACCTCTCTTCCATTTCCCTG